CATCCCTTTCCCAGGGCCCAGTCACAGGGCCCCACCTCACTGTCAGGGGGTCTGAGACCTTCAGCATTTAAACCTGGACAGCAGGTGCTCAGGCACTTTCTCTATTACAGCAGAGCAGGATCATGGGCCCCGGTTCTTCTCCATTTCCTGTGACCAAACCTGTTTCAGCGCCGAGACAGTTCCTGGCACACAGGGCTCTGCTCAGTGAGTGTGCAGGGAACACTCGAGTACATGGCCCAGTCCTCACTGCTGCTGTCCGTCCTACCTCCCAAATTTCCAATTCAGCACAGGGCACGGGACTCCCTCCTGCAGCCTCAGTCAGCCCAAGCTACTGTTCCTCATGTTCCTTCCGCCTCCCTCCTCTTCTCCTTCTTGCCTCCTTTTTCTCCCCCTCCTCTTCTTTCTTCCTCTCACCCTCCTCCCCTCCCTTTTCCTCCTCTTCTCTGTCTCTCCTTCTTGCCCCCCTTTCCAATTCCTTCTCCTACTTTACTTCTGGGCCTTTGCACATGTTTTGCCTCCTTGACTCAATGTTTCCCCATTTTCTCAGGCTGTTAGAAATGGACCTACACTTTAGGGCCCTCTCCTACTGTGCCACTTTGACTTCTGTCTAACTCCCCGTCATCCTTGGTTATGGGCAGCCCCTCTTGAATCCTCTTCATTTTCTTGTGATTATGCCCTGTGATTGTCAGTGTCTGGGGCCGTGCCTCTTCTGCATCAGGCTGCAACTAGACACTCCCCCCACCCCTGCCATCACCACCACATTTAGCAGAGGGCTGTTGTGACACCAATCACACTGATTGTAGCACAGCTGTTTTGCACAGGTTTTGAAAGCTGTATCTACCTGATGCCAACACAACCTGGAGAAAAGCAAGAATTTTGTCGTCTTGGAAAAATTTTTGATGTCTACATGACTGGTGTGCTTGATTTATTTCCATTTGTTGATTAAAGGGTAATGGTGGTCTTACCCCAGATCTGATGTTTGGCTCCAAAGTAGTTATTTTAAAAAAATAAATAAATAAATCTATATGTATAAAGAGCCAGGGGCCATCACATCCGAAACAACCGAATGGATGACCAAACAGGCCGAGTGGGGCAACAAGGCCAGCAGGGGGGTTAGTTGAGGGACAACCAAAGGACTGAGCAGCAGGCTGTGTGGGGCAACCAGGCCGGCAGGGGGGTTAGTGAGGGACAGCCAAATGACTGAGCAGCGGGCTGTGTGGGGCGACCAGGTTGGCGGGGGGGGGAGGGGGGCAGTAATGGGTGACCAGGCCGGCAGAGGGGGGCAGTGAGGGGCGACCAGGCCAGCAGAGATGGGCAGTTGGGGGTGACCATGCTGGCGGGGGGGGGGTGTAGTTAGGGGTGACCAGGCCGGCGGGGGGGGGGCAGTTGGGGGCAACCAGGTTGGCAGGGGGGGCAGTTGAAGGTGACCAGGCTGGCAGGGGGGAAGTTAGGGGCAATAAGGTCACCAGGCAGAGACAGTTAGGGGTGATCAGCCAGGCAGGCAGGTGAGCAGTTAGGAGCCAGCAGCCCTGGATTGTGAGAGGGATGTCCGACTGCTGGTTTAGGCCCGATCCTGGGAATCGGGCCTAAACCAGCAGTCGGACATCCCCCGAGGGGTCCTGGATTGGAGAAGGTGCAGGTTGGGCTGAGGGTACCCCCACCCTGTGCATGAATTTCGTGCACCAGGCCTCTAATATATATAATTGATTTCATATATATATATATATATATATATTTGATTTCAGAGAGGAAGGGAGAGGGAGAGAGAGATAGAAACATCAATAATGAGAGAGAATCATTGATTGGTTGCCTCCTGAATGCTCCACACTGGGGATAGAGCCCACAACCCGGGCATGTGCCATTGGCCAGAATTGACCCTGGGACCCTTTAGTCCACAAGCTCTACCCACTGAGCAAAACAGGCTAGGGCCAAAGTAGTTCTTGAAACAAATGCTTCTGGGCTCCATAAGCATGATGTTCTACAGGACCCTTTCTGCAGGTGGCCAGGGTGGAGACAGGCATCAAAGTGTGGGTCACGGTTCAGGTGACAGTGACATTTCTACCTTACAAAGTCATGGTCTCCATTTTGGATCAGGAATTATAGATTGACCTTCACCTTTCATTTTTTATACTTTTTACTGAGTTTTACATGCTAAGCCTGCAAATATCTCTAGGTGTTGGTTTTGGCAGGAAGAGCACACAAAGGAAATACCCTGATGGATGGAGTCTTCCTACAAATCTTTCTGTTCTCAGGAATCTGCTTTACTGTACTTCTGTGGACTTTGACTAATGGGAGGGGGGGGGGTAGAAAGCGGTCATCTCAGCACGATGGAAGGAAATGGAAAGTAAGAGTAATACTGGGCCGTGTGCTAGGAAATGTGGATTCCAGTTCTAACTCAGCTAAGCATGGTTGTGACCTTGTTGATAACCCCATTTCTGAGCCCCAGCCTCCTCATTTGTTAAATAAGGGGTGGGTAAGATAATAATCGTTTCATTCTTGGAGACACCACTGTGTTTATGTTTTTAGAATTCTCTGTACTGCTTACAGCCTCCATGGCTATCTTCTCATTTGATCCACACAATGAACCTTTAGGAAGGTTTGACAGGGATTAGCATTACCCCCACTAGACAGATCAGTGCATTGAGGCTGAGGAATGGTAGGTGTTTACCCAATATTTCCTTAAAAAGGAAACTCCCCTTCCTAATCCACAATAATTCCCTATTAGCAGGAGGCGTGTGCCTGTGTGTGAATGTCGGTAATCTGGTGGATGTGGGCATCTGTTTTTGTGTTTCTCTGACGTGTGAACATGAAGGATACAGTTATCAGGTGGATTTCCCTAGGTTCACAGTGCTGATCTGTTCCTGGATGATTGCTTTTGTCTGATGGAAAATTGGGAGCACATTAAGTGTCTAAGAATAGAGTATAATTAGGTAATTTCACGGTACACTCACTTGTTGCAATACTATGAAAACACTTAAAATGAAAATTATGAAGATAATCAGTAGAAGGACAGGAACATTTCTGGTAAATTTTTAAGTGGAAAAAGCAGGATGAAACTATGCAGATTATGGCGATGAATTTGATATACATGCATATTGACAAAGCCTGAAATAGAACAGGAAACAGTTCCTAGTAGCCGGGCATTCAGTCTTTTCATTTTTAAGAGTCTTATCAGTGGTGGCGTTGTGTTTATTTGACAGATAATGGAAAAAGGAAAGAGTTGCTGGCGGGACCTGGTTGAAATGATCTTCTGGAGTGAGGCTTGGGAGGTCTCCCCTGGCTGCCCTCCTCCCTGAGCTCTCTAGGGTCAGCGGGGGTGTTGAGGGTAGGGAAGGGGATATATGGATTTGTGAGAAGAAGATGTGTACTGAGATCTTGCCCTGCTGTCGCTGCTGGGAATACGGTTACTGTCTCGACAAAGCCAGGCTGTCATTTTTCCTTTGCCTCACCTCATTTCTCCTGTTCTTCATTCTTCAAGTCTCAACTTAGAAGTCACTTTGCTGCAGTCAACCCCACCTGCCCTCCCTACCTCCCACCCACTAGGCTATGAGGCCTCCTAGGTGTCCCTTCCCCAGCCTCCCAAGCTGTCGCCCATCTCTGCACCTGGCAGGCATGGTGACTGCATTTACATTTTAGAGGCCCCGTCTGGGCTGCAAGGGTTGGGGTCCCAGGAGGATCTGCATCAGTCCTTCGCCCTGACACAAGCACAGATGTCTTCAGTGAATGGTCCTCCTCCTCATCTCTAAAAGGGGGCCAGCTTGGGACGAATTGGATTTCTTCCAGTCCCACATTCTGTAATTTTACCATCTAGTTTGTACCGGATTCATTAAATAAAGGAGCCACTGGGTTTTGAAGACAAGCCCCAACGCAGGCAATGGCCTCTGTCTTTCTGCAGGCTTGATCTGGAGGTCATGTTGGGAGTTTTCACGGCAGGTGTGCTGAGGGCGGGAACAGTCTTAGCAGTCCGCTGGACAACAGGGCTGCAGGGTGAGCATTTTCCTTCTCTCTTGCTTGTACCTGGAAGGCCAGCCACAGACCACATGCGACAGTGTGGCTATGCCTCCACGTGTGAATCTGAAGAGCCAAGAAGAGCTGAGTTCCCCTGATGTCCTGTGTATACCTGCCTGCTGGGAAGTGGGCGTGTCTGTGCACATGGCTGGCTGTGTCTGTGTCAGAGTGGGGCGAATGTTGGTTGAATGACTGGGTTTTCTGGGCAATGTCTCTGCATAGAATGTGTGCACATACCTTGGTGGATGAGTGGGTTTCAGTTCAACAAATGATTACTGCCCGCTTTGTGCGGCAGGCACGGAGCATACATATCTGCACTGTGCACATATCTGCATTGTGTTCTCCTCTGTGTGTCTTTGGGAATGTGTTCTTGGCATGCACGCCTCCTGCATGAACAAGGCTTTTGGTGTGCACATGTCTGTGTGGCAGTGCCTGGGCTCTGTGTGCGGCTGCTGGCTCGTGTACCAGCTCCACTCGTGTCCGCAGTCAGGCGCGGCACGTGCGCCAGCCTCTACGCGCGCAAGTCCCCGAGTGACCCGCGTGTAGTGTGCAAGGACCTCCGGGTCGTGTGCATTTGGTGCGCTCGTGCCTGTCTCTTCGCACGCACGAACGCACCTCCACATGTCTGAGTGCACGTTCCTCTCGGTGCGTGCAGGTTGCATGTGCACGCCGCCCGATTCTGTGTGCAGGGCGCTTCACGCGCGTGTGCTCTGGGCTGCAGGCGACCGGGGATCCGCGCTGGGCTCCACGCGTCCCCCGGGGCTGACCCCCGCCCCACCCCTTCGCTCTGGGCCACGGGCCACCGCGATTGGCCGCCCGCTCCCTCTCCGCCGTCATCCCTCCCTCCCCCCTCCCCCCGCCACCCGCGCGCCCGCGGTCCCCGCTGTCCCCCGCGGTTCCGGCGAGGCCGCGCCGCGCTGCGCTCCGCTCCCATTGGCTGCGCGCGCCTTTGTGTGGCGGCAGCTGCGGCCCCAGCGCCTTTGAATGTCGAGAGGGGCCGGGAAGGGAGCCTTTCCATGGGCCATCTGTCTCCCCGCCAGCCGCCGCCCCGCCGCCGCCCGCGCCCCGCGCTCCGCCTCCCGCCCCGGCGGCTCCCGCAGCCCCGCCGCCGCCCGCGCCCGCGCCCGGGAGCCGCGCCACAAAGGGCCCGCGCGCAGCAGCCGCCGCCGCGCGAGGAGCCAGGATGGTCCTGGTCCACGTCGGCTATCTCGTGCTTCCAGTGTTTGGCTCTGTGCGAAACAGAGGTATCGCTTTTTCCTTTCGGGGTCCGCTTCGGAGCGTGGATCGCCGCGGGCACCGGGGCGGGGGCGGGCACTGGGGCGGCGGGGGGCTCAGGGCACACCCGCGGGACGCAGGGCGAGCGGTGGCTTCTCCCCTCTCCCTTTTGGGGGGTACCCCTGAGTGAGGGGGCGGCCGCCCTCGTGGGAGCTTTTGTAGTGAAGTTAGGGTTTGGCGAATTTGAGTCCCTCCCTCCCAGCCCCATTTTTTATTCTTTGCGGCGATCGCAATTCCCCCAGTCACAGCCCCTTCCCCTGATTCCTAGCCCTGTGTGATCGCAAGACGGAGATACATGCCTGTGTGCGCGCGTGTGCGTGGGATCGTGTGTGTGTGTGTGTGTGTGTGTGTGTAAACATACCTGGTTTCCTGTGATGTGCTTTTTTTTTTTAAGGTACATGTGTGTTTTGTGTTGTTTGTATTTCATTTTTTTGGCCACTGATACGGATGGCTGGGTAGCTGGGATCTGGTCTTGGCCCCATCCCATGCCCCAGCCCCCAGCCCTCTCTTGGCCATTTGCATGATTTCCCGGCCCATCCTTTTCTCCCTCTAACCCTTTCTGTATTTTGCCCTTGTGCTACCCCCTTTACCCCCCATTGCCTTTGTATGACAGTTGTATTCACGGGTTCGAAATGCTTGGGTGTGTGCGTGTGAGTGTGTGTGTGCAAGAGTGTGCGCGCCTCGGAGAGTCAGCCGTGCACTGTTGTGCACCTCTGGGCCCAGCCAGAGCCGGTGCCCGGCCCTTGGGTGTTGCTGTGTGCGAGGACGAGGTGGTGAGCTGCCCCGCCTGGCCGCTGCCCGGCAGGCGTTGACCGAGCAGCAGGCCAGCGCCGGCTTTGTTTTTAACTGTGATATATGGGGTGTGTTTGCACGGTCCCCTTCCCCACACCCCTTTCCCTCACATTCTGCTACAGTAGCTTGATTTCCCTCTCCCCACATTTCTTCCATCCTCTTTTAATAATAATAAAATAAATCCCCACCTCCCAAAGCAAATCCGGGATGCATTTAGATTCACTTTTTATTCTTTTTGTATTCTGCTTCTGGACTCACATTTCTCTTCTTGGAAATGTTTCTTCTGTCCTCTCCCACTCCACGTCTGCTTAAATCCCTCTGGCAAAGGCCCGCCTCTCCCCTCCCCACTCACACCAAGATGTCTTCGATGATGTCTTCCCTCCCTTAGCTACCGGGCTGCTCCACCAAGACCCAGTGGGGGGTGGGGGGGGGGGCGGTCGAGGGGCCAGCGCCTTAGTGCGCCCCAGGGGCCCGATTGGGCGAGAATATGAAAGCCCAGCCCCCTTTCTTCCAGCCCAGCTGTCCCCAACCCCACGCCTCTCCCCAGAACCTAAAAGGCAAGGTTGACCCTCTTAGGCCTGTTTGAACCGCAGTTTTTTTGTGTGATGATAGAATGATGACATTCTGCATTTATCAAATCTTTTTTTTTTCTTCATTGTGTAGCTCAGTGAATGGTCAACTCGCTGCTGTGTGCGCTGTGACCCTCTGCCTCCGCATTTAGCTGTATTGTGACACCCCTCTTAACCATCTCCTGTCTCCATCTGAGGAAGCATTGCTATTTAAGCGGCAGTATCCCCTATCTCAGGCCAGCCTAGCACTGGGGGAGTGGTGGTGGGGAGTGGGTGTGTGAGGAATTGGAATGGGGGGCTGGATGAGGTCTCCCTTGAAATGCCAACCCCCCTCCCCCAAATCACAATTATGCTTTATTACTTGGCATTTCCTCTGAAAACGAGTGTGGAACGTTACACTAGGCAGAAATTAAAAAATGATTAAGAAGGATGTTGAGCCTGAAAGTATAATTATCCTGATTAAATCATTATCATCCTCATTAATACCACCGATCTCTAAATACCATTGCAGGATGCGAGTCCATGTTTTGAAATTCAAATTGCTCAGCGGTCTTTAAATTTTAATTTTAATTACCCCCTCCCTTCACTCACCCCCCCCCCCAAAAAAAAATCCAACAGAAAAAATCCTGCCCTTAGGTCAAAGTTTACTTTCATGCAAACCCGCCCACAGGAAATTCAAGGGCTGAGGATGACTGGGCTGTGGGTGAAATTGAGCACAGTGTGATAAGAATTCATGACCTTCTGATAGCGGATACTAATGCTTAACCCAACAAGGTCCTAAACCACAATCTTCTTGTAAAACTATTAGACAGCCTGCAAGCTTAAATCTGTTCTTTTTAGTTTCCATTGTAGTAATGTAGGATGTAGGCCATTTCAGAATAGATGTAGAGAAATAACCATTTTTGTATCTTCATCTTGTTTAGCCAAGTACATTGCACTGTAAATCCCTGTTAAGTGGATTCCTTTTGCCTTGCCTTGGCTTGGAGGCCATTGCACCCCATTTCCCACTTATCTGGGTGACCGTCAGCTACCTTTCTGGCAGCACCCAGGCCTAAGTGAACAGATCACATTTAGTCGGAGGCAAAAAATAAGTGAAACTATACCTATGAAAACCTTTGATGAAATGATAGTTGCTGCTCCTCCATGGCCTCTGAAAATTGGGTGCAGCGAGGTCCCTGGCTTAAGGGGGAGCCATGGCCCATGGTGTCTTAATTGTTTAACTGTAAAATGTCAAGAGCATCTTTGGACATCTGCCTTGGCCATCAGAGCTGCCCCTTTAATAGCCGGCTCTCTTCTGCGGCCTCCCTGGCCAGACCTGCTTGAAACAAAACGGAACAATAATGAAAGAATAAGGCCCCTACTTCAAGGGCCCTTCCAAAATAAAGTCACGAGTGGCCTCCCTAGATTGCCATGTGGCAATCTGAAAGGAAAGTTCGGGGGGTGGGGGCGGGGGGGGGGGCGGGGAGAAAAGAAGAACCAAAAAGGAATCCCCAGCAAAATGGTTTTCCATTAAACAGGGATAGCGTGTTCTGCTGTGCTGAATTACTTCCTGTTCTTATTTTGTGGGTAATTTTTTTCTGTACCAGATATCCTTTTGGTTGTGTATCTTTTTCACCTTTTCTTGTACTAAAACTAAAGCATGATCTGTATTTTTTTCCATCCCCCAGTTGACAATGTACAGCGCTCGGTTAGAGATGTTACCCTGCTGAACCGCACTGTGGTCGTGTAGCCCGGGCCATCTGCTCATTGTACGCTGCTTTTGTTCTGTTGCCCTTCGAAGCATGGTGGACCCAGCCCTTTTCTTTCTTTTTTTTTTTCTTCTTTTTTTTTTGTATCGTGTGCATGACAACATTGTTACACACAGAATCCACTAATACTAATATACAATCTCTCAATAAAGAACTAGTTTCCTATATTAACCTAGTGTGCTTTTTCTCTTGCTGTTTTCCCATTTATTGTCGTATCCCGCTGTTTAGAGATCCCCCCTCGCTTTTCTCTCCCCACCCTCACCCACCCACCCACCACTCCCACCTCCCATTGTAAGACTCGAGTGAATGCCTTTTTTTTTTTAAACTTTTTTCTTTTGTTTTGTGGTACAGATATGGTGACCTTAATCCCATCCAGTCCATATCTTTTTACAATAGACTTCTGAGGGGATGGGAGGGTCGGTGGTCCTGTCACACCCGAACAGCTCAACCGCATAGAGAGAACCCCTATCTTGGGCCACCTGTGCAGCTAGGAGCCTCCACATTTCATCTTGGTTCCCAAGTTACCTGGCACTCGGTTTGCGATGCTGGTGAAGAGAAGGGGCTATAACACTCAAGCTGAGAAAAGGGATACTGTTCTTAACTAGCAATCTTGTAGCATTTCAGACTTGCCTGGAAAACTCATTTTCAGTTGTGTTTTAACTTTGCCTTTTACTGTCTCATTGATTTACTGTCCTTCAAAACCATTCTGGGGGTAGAGGGGCGGGTGACATGTCCCATGAGGTTGAAGTCATGATCTGGAATTTTAAAGTACCCTCTTCTGTGTGCATATTTACATTTTGGGGACTGGCGATAATGTAAGATTTGCAGGCAGATCTTGCAGAAGGAGGATGTTTGAAACAGAAGCCAATTTGATCACCCCTGCATTCATCCCAGGGCCAGCAGCCTGACCTGTTAGCAGAGGAATAAGGGGGTCTGTGCCCTCTGTGGGCTGGGAGCCAGTTAAAGCTGATTATAGCCTAGTCCCTGACAGCTGTCTCATCTGTGGCCCTAGTGCCTCTCCTGAGAAAGCAAGCCAGATCTCTTGGCATTGTGTGTGTGTCTGTGTGTGTGTGTGTGTGTGTGCTGGGGAAAGAGGGCGGGATTGAGAGGGAAGCCAGGACCTACCTGGAAATTGAATTGGAAGAAGAGGCCTTAAAATGCATCTTTCTCCATAATTCCATTTGAGAAGCCAGTGGAGAGGTATTCCTCCCCCAACCCCTGTCCACTCCCCGACCCCCCAGTGGAACCCAAATCCAAGCATTTGTCAATTACACCTATTCAATTTCAGCCCAGAACAAGCCTGGCTAAACGAGGTGTTCAGTTGATTAAAGAAATTCCCGGTGCCTTTAAAGGGTCATCATTTTGGGGCCCCTTATCCTTGGGCTGACATGACGCCTCCTCTTTCCTCTGGGCTGTCTCTCGGGTTTGCCTCTGCCCTTCTGCCAGCCTTCCTTCCTGGGCCGGCGCACCCGTGCCTGACCACAGTGCTTCCTGGCCGCCTCTGTGGCCGGGGGGACTCCTCTCCCCCACGGCTGCCCTTGTGGCTCCAGCCCTTTGTTCTCCTGCTCTCCCAGCCCGAGTGGGAAAGCTGAGCTGATTTACTGTGACACATGGACACACACGGAAGTCCCCAGTGGAGCTTAGGCTATAGTTGTACAAGGAGAGAGATGCAGGTCTTCCAGGATTTTTCTTTCTTTCCCCCCCTCCTCCCCCTCCTCCTCCTCCTTTCATTTTGCTTTACACGAAACTTTAAATTTTGTACCTAGTTTAAGAAATAAAATAAACCACCCCTCAACTATAATAAAACTACTGCAAATCAGGGGACCCCCAGCATTTTTGTCCTAGGGAGCTGTGGCTGAT